GCACCAATGCGTGGCAGCGACTCATCAGACTGGACTCGGGACAAAAATAGKCCTGAAAGCGAGCTGTGAGCCTCTCCTGCAGCTCCTGGGTGATGAAACTCAGAATGTCACTGAATTATCTGGTGAATTAATTATGAATGAATTATCTGATGAACGTGACATGCTCTTGCTCTCTGTAAATAAAGCAAAGCCACTTCCTCGTCCAACATTAAACAGAGCCCGACAGAGGAGGGAGGGGCGGGGAGGCTCTGCCGTGCAGCGCTTCAAGAGCTGACCTGCGTCTGACCTCAAAGTGCACAAGCGACCAACTTGAAGCAATGGCTGCGATTTTGAAGCTGAAATCGCGTTTGGTGTGAACGCAGCATTACTGAGGCTTGCTTTGTCTAAACTAATAGAATTCCTTCTTTTCTTGCAATGCTAAAACAAGTGAATCATCTGCATACTGTGAAAACTGCTGTGTAAAGTCACAGTTATTTCAGACATCAGTGAAGTTTTATACAATCAGATGTTGCCTCTATTTATTCTACAAATGGGTTCTTACTTTTACACAATAATCCTAAAAAAAAAAAACTGATCTTACTGGATCCAAAAAGCCAAAGTTTTTTGTTTCAGCACTCCTAGAAACGATTAGGCTCGTCAACATTGTCCTCTCATTTTGGTGTCTACCTCTCTGTCTGTCTGTGATGAACATTTGATCTGTTTGACATCATTTTTTTAAATAACCAAAATCTTAATAAACGTGTACAGTTCTAACTAATGCAGTAAACATGCATGTGCTGCTGCTTACTCTGATTATTCTGTTGCTTCACGAGTCCAATAGATCAGTGGTTTCCAAATTTGGGGTCAGAACCCCTCTGTGTCACGAAACATCAAATGAGGGTCACCAGATGATTTCCAGACATCAATTTAAATGCAAATAATTTGTTAATGGAATATTTTCACCTTAATTATTGCAAAAAAATACAATAATAATAATGAATGAAAGTATAGTTGTAAGGTTTGCCTATATTGCTATTTTGCCCATGTTTAACAGAATTAGCAGTAAAGTTTGCATATACAGTACCAGTAATACCTGGGCGGTCACAAGTTTCTGTAGCTGTTATTTTCTGGGTCAGAAGCTAAAAAGTTGGAAATCCACTGCAATAGATTAATGAGAAGTGGGCACATACTATAAAGCTGTAACTCATGCATCCAGATTCCAGTTTGCTTCATAATCATCCAACTTGTGTTTGTAATTTTATCTGGTTTATGGCGATCAAAGTTGAGTTTATGTTCATTAGATCCTTGTTTAATGTAACTTGTCTTGTGTGACAAAGTAATATTTTGTTCTGCTTTGAAACATGTTTGTGTCTTATTGTTAATTTACACATTTCCACCTCAAACATTTAGATATTTACAGTAGAAGGAATACAGGATGTACAGAACTGAAACTAAAGTATTTAGTTTGAAATGTGTGTGTTTTTGATTCAGGCATAATCCGGACAGCCCTGGGTCCTGAAGACATGGACCGTGAGCAGAGGGAGCACTACCAGGTGGTGATTGAAGCTAAAGACATGGCTGGACAAAGAGGGGGACTCACTGGGACCACCGTGGTTAATATCACTCTGACTGATGTCAACGACAATCCTCCCCGGTTCACACAGAGTAAGACAGAACCTGGTCAACATCTAGACCTAAAACAGTTTTCTGTCTGTATCATCAAACAAAAGTCATTCATCTCAACTAAACCAATGAAAGTTCTGATTTCATGTTGATGAAATGTTTCCTCAGCCTGAAAAGAACAATAATTAACCTTCTGCTGTGATGAAGAGATTAATCAGCAGCAGTGGTGACTAATCGAACCAGGGCCGTCATGCATAAAGGATTGCGCAGCTTTCACACTAAAAGTTGACGTACGGACAAATTTAGAAAAGTGTTCTGCACAAAAAAAAAAGACGTATAAAACTGTGCACACGCAGGTTCCTGCGCAGCTTTCCTTTATACATCCTAATGAACGTGGAACTGAGACTCCTCCCCTGACACGCCTCCATTTAAAAATGTAAAATAGATGTAAAATGTGTCCAGCCTGTGAGATTCTCCTCCGATTCCTCTCTGTGGGATCAGAAATGATTTTTAGATGCAGGAAAAACATGCATTAAATGGAGAATGAGTGAGAAAACTGTCTAAATAAGTAGTGGGGTGTAAAAAAGAGTTTGACACTCGCAAAGTTGTGTGTATGTTGGTGTGTACGCGCATGTGCTGCAGCAACGCATGAGGCTGACATACATTTCCACCTTTACACGTCTTTAATAAATGACTGTAAACACAGAGGAACTGATGAGTTTGGTAGAACTTAGAAAAATATTTATTAAATAGTTGACGTGAAGAAACGACTCGCAGCGCTGCGAGTTTCTGCTGCGTTGTGATTTATATTTTAGAGTCATGAAGTCTCTCAGCTGCATGGCTCGACTCTGAACTACAGTAAAATACCTGATTGTAAGTTTTTTGGTGTGATACAAATAAACAAACAAAAAACCACGCTGTCCTCAGTTCTGATATCAACCTAAAGAACAGCTGACATTGATCCATAAATTACACACAACTTTACGCAGCAACAAATCTATTGTCTCCATCCTGTGGAGCTGAGGAATCATCACAGCTGAATCTGCTGAGTTGACAAAGTTTTTTTCTCAGTGAGAATTAAAATGTTTCTTAGACTATTCACACACATTTTATTCTCCTCAGCTGTGTGTGCGCTCTGTGTGTGTTTCCAACTACGTGACAACAATATAAACACAGTTTACAGTTTACAGTGGACCGGAGGTTCTTTGATCATTTTTAGACTGATCTATTTTCTTGTCTGAGGTTAAATGATTTTCAGTTCCGGGGTTCAGTTTCATGATCGTTTGAGTTTAAACAATAAAAACTCAAACTAAAATAAAAATCTAACACCGTGTTCAGACGCTCCTTACATCCAGAAAACAGAGCAGAGTCACATTTCTGTGGATTCAGGTCAGATTCGTGACTTTGTGAGTTAAAACTGTCGACTGAAAAACTTTGCGTGGCTGCCGCACATTCTCACAGCAGGTGAAAAGTGTGCACCTATTTAAGCACAGTTTCAAGCAGCGTTGGTTTTGATACATTCCAACGTAGGTGTAGAACCTGGCGCACGCAACTTTTTTATGCATTTATGCATGAGGGCCCAGGAGTTTACATCATGATAGCTCAAAGAAACAAGATTTTTACCAATCAGCAAAAGATAAATAAAAAACTATTATCTGTGACTGCAGCCTGCAGGAAGCAACATTTATTTTTTTTTCTATAAATATGAGGTATTTCACATTTGATTCCATGAGTTGATGTGCCTGATGATGATGATGATGATGATGATGATGATGATGATGATGATGATGATGATGGGAAATATCTTGTTAAAATCAAATTCAACAGAGGCTTTACCAAGTTAAATCCAAACATTAAGATTTTCCAGCTCAAAGATTCAACTGAAATACTGGATAAACTTTGAGCAACTTGTTTCTTGTGTCTCTGCCACAGGGTTAAAAAAATATTTAGTTCAGGCAAAAAATGTGGGAAACTTTGTATTTGTGGTTTAAAGAGCTCAGTGACCTCTGTGTTGGGAGGCCCAGATCCTGGATTAAATGAAAGCCAAGAAGGTCTGCCTTACAAAGCACATGTACACCGCTGTAAACTTTTTAACTTCATTTAGGATTAATTGTGTTTATTCCCACCACCCACTGGAACACAAGTTAGGAGTGATCAGGACTCTGTACCACAGAGCAGACAGTGTCCCTACAAACCCAGGAGCCAGGGAGAAAGAGAAATCACACACACGACAGACCCTGGAGCAGTGTGGTTATCCTGACTGGGCTTTCCTGAAAGCAGACAGGAAACACAGACAGGATTCCATGCAACCTTCAGGTGAAAATGAAGACCCCAAACCCAGACCCAAACCAGTGGTTATTCCGTATGTTGCGGGTGTTTCGGAGAAACTGAGACATTTATTTTCTAAACATGATGTCCCAGTGGCTTTCAAACCCCAAAACACATTACGGCAAAGGCTGGTTCACCCCAAAGATCCGGTGCCCCGGCACAAACTGAGCAATGCTGTATATGCTGTTAAGTGCCAGGAGGACTGCGACCAGTTATACGTCGGGGGAAAAAAGCAACCTCTGTTCAAAAGAATGTCCCAACACAGACGAGCTACATCTAATGGCCAGAACTCTGCAGTTTTCACTCATTTACAGGCCAGCGGTCACTTTTTCAGAGATGAGGATGTTCTCATTCTTGATAGAGAGGAACGTTGGTTTGAGAGAGGAGTAAAAGAAGCCATTTTTGTGAAGAAAGACCGTCCATCATTAAACAGAGGTGGAGGCCTCCGTTTTCAGTTGTCCCCCTCCTACAGCGCTGCTATTGCCAGTATCATTCCACCCCTGTTAACAATAGGTGTTAATTAGGTGTCAACGATAGCCATGTGATGTGAGTATCAGTCACATGGAGGCAGGGCTTAAAAGCCTGAATTTTGCCTGAAACTCTCAGACTGAAGAAGTCTCTTGGAGGAGAGACGAAACGTTTCATTAAAGAAGAACCCGTCCAGAAGACCTATACCCAGTTTTTTTCTTTTTGAAGTTTTAACATTTTGAAAGCTTTAATAATGATATATTACTATAAACTCACAGTAAAATATCTCCACCCTCTAATTCTTAGGGTTCTCTTAAAGACAGTTGTTAATTTATGTTCAGATGAACGGCAGCAGCACCTGACAGTTTTTCACAGCCCGTTTCAAGAACAGTGCTGCAAGAATGTGCAATATGTTTGAGTATTGCACTGTGTGCTGCAGAGTGGAAAACACAAAATATAAAAATCATGACGCAGCTTTGTTACAAACTTCATGTTAGCCTGCTACGACTCACTGCACTGCTCAGGAAACAAGCCTGTTTTACTGCTCATTTCTTTAAAACACACATGTATGTAGCCTAGGAGATGACCGTGGCAGAGACATATCTGCATCTGAAACAGGTTGACTAAGTCAGTGGTTCCCAAACTATTTTCCTCAGAGCCCTTCTTTCTACAAGCCAAACTGACTACCGCCCCCCATATCCCTCACTTTTCCCCACCTCTCCCAAAGACACGTTAAGTTTTAATCTCGTTATCAAAATGATCAACGAATTAATTAAATAGTTACAAAAAAAGAACTGTTATTAAGGGTTTTGTTTATTTGCAGAAGAAGCTGTTTATCAGAGAAGATTTGGCAACTCACATACTCAGCCCTACTGCTCATCCACAAATGCATGTTCCTTACAAATGTGACACTATTAAAAAAGGGATAAATAGGCTTTCCAACAGTATAAGATTTATTGTCAAGAAGCAATGGGCCTCATGCAAGAACATGTTCATATTCTTCTCCTAAATTTCTCTTACTTTTGTTAATACAAAGGGTTCGTACAAACATGCCACGTCAGATTCAACAAACTCTTCTATCTTCAGGAAAAGTGTGTAAATGAGCTGCGTAAACATGATGATTTACACCTGTTCGTATCCAGCTGCTCGAGCACGTTGAGAGTTAATTTACATAATTACCACCCCAAAAACACCATATAAGGCTATGTTTCCTACCTCAGATATCAGGAAGTGTCCATTCATAAATGACATCGCAAAGTAAAAAAGAAGAACTTTACGAATTCGGAGATTGAAGTCCTGCTTTCAGAGATCCACAAAAAAAGTCATTTTTAGCAGCGTCGATTAAAGGATCTGCTTTAAAGCCGAGGAATGAAACGACGACTGCTGTTAATGTCGTGTCTCCTGTGGGTCGTTACACTCACAGAAATAAAAATCTAAATCAGATTTGTTTCTCTCTGTATCCTGCTCTTGTTTTTCTTTGGTCAAATATTTTTAATATCAGTGCAAACAGCTGTGTTACATAGTTTTCATTTATTCAGAGGAGCAGTCGCGCACCGCTATGCACCCCACCACCACCACCACCACCCCCGCCTGGCCGTCTCCCCCCCTTCCGGCCATCACAAGTGTCAGATGCGGTTCTGAAAAGACGCATTTTAAAATGTCTCCAAACTTCAATTAATGCATAATTTAAGTTGGTTTTTAGTTTGAGATCTTCATATTAATATCCTAGTGTTATACAACAGCATTAATAGCTAATTTAATTTGATCTATTCAATTTATGTCGTTAAAATCTAATTCCAGTTCAAACAGAATAACCTATTGTCAACATAATTATGTAGTGTGATTTATTTTCAACTCAAAATATTTTCAAACTAATGAAATATAAAGTTATTAGTGAGAAAAATCCATCTGGATAACAGCAGACTGACTGCTCGTAAAATATACGACACACTCTAAAATTGAAATGTTGGATTTACTTAACCATGTTATGTGACCTGGTTCCACTTAACTGAGTTGRRYAAATTCAAAGCAACATACTCGTGTTCTTTGGTTAAAAAACTGGTATATTGCTTTGAATTTACTCAACTCAGTTAAGTGGAACCAGGTCACATAACATGGTTAAGTAAATCCAACATTTCATTTTTTACAGTGCAGGTCTGGACCACTCGTGAATTTTGTTCGTATCTGAAAAAAATCTTGGAATATGAAAACATTGGTGAATGCCACAAATTTTCCTAAATCACTCGTACGCACAACTTAAGAACAAATCTGTGCGTACGAACGGTTCTTACATGAGGCCCATTGTTACAACAAAGAAATAATCTACCAAACACTAATTTACTTACTTTTTGTGCTAAGTTTATAAAAGCCTAACCCACAGAAGGTCTCATGATGAACAAAATCAGTCACACATTTATTTTTGTTGGTGTTTTTAACTTTTTTGATTCTGTCAATAAAGACAATTGTTCCTCACAAAGCCTATAGATCCTTCTAAAATGAATTTACTTTGTTAAAATAACTCTCAGCAACTTCACTGCCCTCTGGTGTCTCTTATGGTGAAAAATCAATACTAATGAAATCCATTATAAATTCATTTCTTTGGTCCCATATTTGTAATGTCATAAAAGAATGAATTGCTTTCTGTAAGGTTTTGAATTTAGCTCGTTCTGTGACACTTCCTTAGGGTTACAGCATTCTGAAAGGCAGTGTCAGGGTGAATTATTATCAGGAAACAGGAAGTTGAGACTCAGGAAAGGTTGTCGCCCTTCTGCCCACCATCAATGGTCAGTGGTCAAAATATTCTGGTTACCTGGTGTCTGGTGTGTGACATGCGGTCCAGTGTGTGGATTTGGTCCAACTGTTTCCTCTGTTGCTTTCAGCTTTATACCAGTTCAGAGTTCCTGAGACCTCCATGCACGGCACCACGGTGGGAAGACTTCAAGCCACTGATAGAGACATTGGGATAAACGCAGAGATGATCTACACCATCATCAGCGGAGATGGAATGGACGTGTTTGACGTCTCTGCTGACAAAGACACTCAAGAGGGGATTATCACTGTGAGCAAGGTGAGGGAGATTAATTTAATCTGTGAGCTCAGAGTTCCATCCAACCACATCTGTAATACAGAAGCTAAAATGACAAATTATTCTCAGTAGAACACAAATAATAAATGTGCTGAAGTGAACTCCAAGCTGGCAGGGAGCTGAAGTCCAAATACCGAAAACAAAAAGCTGTTTGAACTGAGCTGAGGACTGTTTCACAAAACCTACAGTGATTTACAGAAGTATCACCCCTTATCACACTGGATTTTACTACCTTAATGCATAGTACTTGATCAAAAGTTATAATTGTCCAAAATACTTTAGATGAATAGAGTTAAATGAGGAAGAAACTTGCTTTAAATCATTTTTTAAAAATGTAAAAATTTCTAGGTAGTGTGTGCATTCAGCCCCTTTGCTGTAAAGCCTCATTAAAAAAGCCACATAGTAAGTTTATACGATCCATCTGTGAGGGGCCTAAATATAAGATAAGTTCAGTATAAATACACCAGCTTTGATAGCCCCCAAAATCCAACGGTCCAACACCTCTAAGTAGTAAGAACCAAACAACAAAGAGCATGAAGACCAAAGATCACAGATCAGGGTCGTGTTATATAAATAATCTCAGAACTCTACAGTAAGGGGTCTCTGCTGTAGGTTTTGTCCTGTGGGCGGAGATGACCCTACTCATGATTGGCAGAGGTGTTGATGTGGGCGGAGATGGCCCAAGAGACATGATTGGTTGGATTGACAGTGGGGTTTGAGGAGGTTGGAGGCAGTGGGGAGTAGCTTGATCAAGTCAGACAGGAAGCAACGTGTTTTTTAAGATTAATTTTAGTCATAACTTGAGAAAGGAAAGTGCTAGCTGCACAAAATTTGAACGTCATACATGTGAAAGGATGTGTAACAATATGGCTTGTTTAAAAACCAGCCTGTAAAAGATTGCTAAAAATCTATTTTTTTTTACTTGTACGACGTTCAAATTTTGTGCAGCTAGCACTGTTCTTTCTCAAGTTATGACTAAAATTAATCTAAAAAAACACGTTGCTTCCTGGCTAGCCTGGTCCTTGCCTTCCAACGCAGTTCTGCTCAATTCTAGTTTCCCTTCACTACTCCGTCTGGGATTTCTCTCATAGACAAAGATTTCACTGGCAGATTTTTAGCCGGGCCAATCAGAGAAGAGAACGTCGATTTTCTGTGCGGTGTCTGCTTGTAGTTTATTTTACCTGGGCCAATCAGCAAACAGAAGGAGGGGCTTTGAACGATATCAATTTTCTGTGCAGTGTCTGCTTGTAGTTTATTTTACCTGGGCCANTCAGCAAACAGAAGGAGGGGCTTTGAACGATATCAATTTTCTGTGCAGTGTCTGCTTGTAGTTTATTTTACCTGGGCCAATCAGCAAACAGAAGGCGGAGTTTTGAACGACGTCAATTTTCTGCGCAGTGTCTGCTTGTAGTTTATTTTACCTGGGCCAATCAGCAAACAGAAGGCGGAGTTTTGAACGATGTCAATTTTCTGTGCAGTGTCTGCTAGTTATTTAGCATACAGCAGTGGAGGAAGTGAATGAAGCCAGTCTGTGTTGATAAGGCTTCCAGATTAACAAGTGATTTCCAGTTAGCTTCTTAGCTTAGCTTCCTTCACAGCGACATACACACACACTTCAACAGAGGCCACGCCTCCAGCAAGAATTGCTTCTCTATAGCCGCGAGTCCAGACCCTCGTATGAAGCAAAGTGAAGGACAAGGGTCTGTTTTTTTACCAAGCTACTCCACGCTGCCTCCAGCCTCATGCCCCACCGTCAATCCGGCCAATCACATCTCGTGGGCCATCTCCACCCACATTAAGACCTCCGCCAATGACGATTTGGGCCATCTCCGCCCACAGGACAACACGTTCTGCAGAGACCCCTACTTGGAACTCTGAGCAAACCTGTTGAGAGTTCGTTCACCAACACTCAAAGAGTGAAGAGTGCATCAATGAAAGAAACAACAAGAAAACCCAAGATAACACTGATGGGGCTGAGCTCTTCTGCACAGATACAGTAGGAGGACAAGAAGCTGCACATGCTGGGCTTCAGTGTGGCAGGAAAAAAAACACTGGTTAAAGAAAATTAAACTTGGATTTTTTTGAAGGCGCTGTGGTCAGATTCAATTCAGTTCAGTTTATTTATATAGTGTCAAATCACAACAATTGTTGTCTCACAAAAATGTAACCAAACATCAAGGACAACACTACGTCTAAAGAAAATCTACCACCTCTCATCCTGCTGATGTCACCATGTGAAGCATGGGGGAGGCAGTGTCAGGCTGCGTTGATGTTTTTCATCAGCAGGGACAGACAAATGGGTTATTATGAGAAAAGTTGGATGAAGCAAAATGGTGGTACACGATTGGTCCTGTTTAGTTATTTTTCATCCATCCATCCATCCATCCATCCATCCATCCATCCATCCATCCATCCATCCATCCACCCACCCACCCATCCATCCATCCATCCATCCATCCATCCATCCATCCATCCATCCATCCACCCATCCATCCATCCATCCATCCATCCATCCATCCATCCATCCATCCATCCATCAGCTGCTTGTTTTGAGGTTAAGTTGCAGACTAGCCTCATGAGCAGGGAGGCCCATCCTTCTACAACCACCTCTTTCAGTTTATCCAAGAGGATTCCCAGGTTAGAAAACAAACATGGTGTACTTGTACAGGGACAAAATGGCCTACAACACTGGACCCACAATCCCATACTTGCACAGTACCCCCCACAGTTTACCTCGGGGAACACAGCTGAACGTCTTCTCCAAGTTTACCAAACACATGTAGACTGGAGGGGGCAAACTCCCTTGACCCCTCAAGGACCCTAGTGGGGGTGAAGAGTTGGTCCTGTGTTCCACTGCCAGGACTGAATCCATATTGTTCCTCCAGAAGCTGAGGTTTGGCCATCTATCTTAGTCTCTTCTCCAGTACCCCATAACAGATTTTATCTAAGAAGAGTGATGGCCTTATAACTGGAACACACATCCCTGTCGCCCTTTGTGAAGAGGGAAACCATTTACTGTGGTAAATATGTAGGTGTAGGTATGACATATTTACTGTATGAGAGCAGTGGTTGGATGTACTTTGTTCACAGTAAACACAGTACATACTAGGGATGTCCCGATACCACTTTTTCACTTCCGATACGATACCGATATTACAACTTTGAGAAATGTCCGATACCGATATTGACCGATACCGATATTGACCCGTTACTGTAACAGTGCAAGTCACACACTTTTACCTATTTTGTAGTGTAAAATCTTAGAAAAATCTTGATCAGATCAAAC